TATGATTCCAAATCGCTACATAAGAGGTCTCATGTTTCAAAACAAGAGCCGAAAACTTCAATATAATCCTTTAAATTAAATTGAGTTGAAATTAAAATGGGATCCGTTCCATCTTCAAGCGAAATTTTTTGTTGGAATTCGGCTCTTGTTTTTGAAACATGAGACCTCTTATGTAATGATTTGGAATCATATTTTTAAATAAATAATATATATATATATATATATATATATATATATATATATATATATATATATACAGATAAACATATGTGCAGAAACACATACACACATATATATTTAAATCTATAGACATACACATAGGAACACAAATGTACGCATATGTTCACACACACGAACACAAATAAGCACAAACGCGTATACACAAATACAGTTACACACGCATATACACATGCACACTCATACATACATATGTAGATAAATACAATTTTGAAAATACGCGCAGACACATTACGAAGATATACATATACACATATAATGTACACGTGTTAGCTAAATAAAATACACATATATGTATTTATATATACGCAAGCAAACGCGCAATGGCGTATATACATACATTTATGCACACGCACACATATAATTCGAGAAAAAAGATTTTCCTGTTTTAGCTTCGGATATCCTCTACGGTTATAAATTAGAATTTAAAATATGTTACTTTTGCTGAGGCAACATTACCAGAGAGAATTATTGATGATAAAACAATATTTATTGAATGCTAATAACAAAGAATCCTTTTTACTTTGAAACGATTTAAGAGCGTGTCACCACAGTACGCATGCGCTGATTAGGTTCGCTGATAGAAACTCAATACGAACGACATTAACTTTCATTAAATTATCCTGATTTAATTCTAGAGGCTTTAGATTGACTTTTTTTTATTCGATAAGGTAATGGAGAAGATATTGCCTCTGAAATCCACTGAACTGGAACGTAATGAAATGAAAAACATATTTGTTGCAATATTCCATAATGTGTGAAGAAATCTGTGTACTTTCGTTGTCAGCCTTGCCTTCTGTTTCCCGTTCAGCATTATGTTGAGTCGCTGTGTATCTCAGTGGGTACAACATTGGTTTGTGATTAAAAGGATTCACTTAAGAAGATAACAAGATTTGTTCAACGTCTCAGACAGTTGAACTACATCGATAATAACTTAGTAAGATTTTAGTCTTATCAGAAAAAAAAAGATTGTATTATATTTGGTAAGGCTTTTTTTTTAACCTGGGATATAAACTTCAATCTTTGGAATTAATAGAGAAAATATTTACCTACTAACCTAATTATTTATAGTCAATCAGGAGGACAGTAGATACTGTCCTCTTGATTACTCTTTCGTCTTTCTGCTCATAATTATGTTTCTGTTTTTAATTCTTCCTCGCCTTGTAACCCCTTTCGTCTTAGTAGCTTTACTGCCTTGCATGGGGTGATACCGATTAAAAAAAAAAAAGTATAAATAAAAAAGACCCAAAAATCAAACAATTGCGTCAGTCACAGCTAAGAATGAAAATCATTTGTCTATTGAACAATTATTTAAGACTATGTATAAAATGAAGTTAAACCACCGTACGGTAGACATCTTAAATCAGAAGATCCTTTGATGTTGTGATGAACAATGCTTAATAATATTATATGACGTGATCGCATTCACATGCAAATGATAACAGAGATTCGAGAATAAATATTAAATTGTGGGGGTCGTTTCCTCGAGGCGTCAAGAGAAACGGATGCAACGTAGTAGATAGAAAATGGAGAGACTGAGATAAATAGATAGATAGATAGATAGATAGATAGATAGATAGATAGGAAGCGAATGAGATAGAGATGGATAGAAAATGGACAGACTGAGATAGATAGATAGATAGATAGATAGATAGATAGATAGATAGATAGATAGATAGATATGAACGAAATGAAATTGATAAATGGAAAATGAACAAATTGGGCTCCCAGTGGGGTTGACCAAAAAGTTCGTTCGCTCATTTAGTAGAAAATTTTCTTAATAAATCGAACTTTTTGGCCAAACCAGTATATAAATATAATACATAGATATGGTGAAGAGTAGCTTAAATGTGGCACAAAGCTGAAGGTATGGAGCGCTCAATGATGACCGAACTCACTACTCAGTCGCAATTGATCTAGCTTGTTAACTATTACACAACGTCGAAGTGCCTAAGTGATTTACAAGGCGAAGTAATTGATATGGAGCGACAAGTTTCCTAACCATAACACCACGTCGAAGGGCTCACAGATAGATAGATATAGACACGCTAATACGCACAACTCTCATCTGGCATAAATATTCTGATAAACTCGATATAACAAGACCGGGATATATATATCTATTTAATTGAAATTATTCATGAATCGATTTTTGCGTTTTAACCAATCATATTTCGAAAGTACCGAATCGAGTAATTTGGATGAAGTTGCATTTGAATCGCCTTCTGATTTAAAATTTTCACCGCAAGATCGTCAAAACACGAAGCCAACGCCTGTCAAACCCCAGGGAATTTTGAGGCACTAACAGATAAAGAAGTTCATGAAATTCGATCGTGAGCCCAAGGCAAACGTAAGCAATCACGCCTTCGTTATACACTTGTTGTCACAGAGAAATGTCTACATTTAGGAACAATTGCTTACATTCGCCAGTCAGTCATGTAGTAAATTATTGGTTTAGAAACAAAGATTCTTCCTAAATTTATAGATATTTTTATTAAACGATGTGCGGGACTTTGCTTCCAACGTAATACATACAAACATATAAGTTGTTAACACGTGAAACATATTTTGATATGGAAAAATAAAACAATATTTTAATAAAATATATATATTTCCTTCCTTTCAAAAATAGGCCGTTGGTTGAAAAGCGTTTCGCATCGCATTCAAAAAACTGTTCAACACGCGTCAAGTTGGATTTGGTCGAGATCAAAACAAGCAAATGAAATGCGCGCAACATCACGACCTAACATGCGCAAGTGAGATATTTGCGTGGTCGTCTATAACGATTTTTTACGAGCGCGTCAATAATGGCAAACGCGTTCAGGAAACTTTCATTGCAGATAGATTTTACTTAAAGGAACGATTAATTGGCTTATCTTCATACCCTGCCTGGTGACAAACACTGCTGGTGGCGCCAGGGGTGGCGGTTCCGCCATAGCCACCGAAACCGTGATATCACCCCTGGTCGGCGGCTGATGAAGACAGGGTATCGCACGTGCTAACGTTGTATGTTACATATATATATATATATATATATATATATATATATATATATATATATATATATATATATATATGAAGAAAGATATACTGAAAAAACAAACAAAAATCCTAATATGCGATTATGCTGTTTTAATGTTTAATGTCAACGTCGGACGTTTCGGTCTAATAGACCATCTTCAGAACATATTCATAAAACATAAATAAAACATAATAAAAATAGACTATATAAAATTCAACCTGAAAAAGACGATGGACATAAAAGCAATACCAATCGAAACAAATAACTGAAATCTTTCATAAGATCAGCGTTCCGTTTAAATATGATCACGTCGTCGTCACGTCGTCGTCACGTGGGCGATGTTGTGAAAACGTATTCCTAAAATTTGAGTATTTTGAATGAAAAACGAAAAGAATTTTATTTTGATCTAAAACTTATATGTACGTTTGTCGAGCATTAATCTTGCTAGAAAAGGGGAAATATTAAAGAAGCCAGGTCTAGTGTTCACCGTGCGTGAGGTAGATATTATGCCTGCTTCATAAATCCACCTAAGATTTTTATTATGAAAATATTTTAAAATCTTCACAGAATCAAAATCGAAATTATGATCGTATATTAGGATTTTTGTTTGTTTTTTCAGTATATTTTTCTTTATACTGTCGGATCTATATCCATATATTTGCTTACACACACACACACACACACACATATATATATATATATATATATATATATATATATATATATATTGTAGCCAGAATATAACTTTACGATAATGAGTCAGTTTTAATCACAAGTAATAATGTTCCTTCGGGGTGGAATGTTTTTATATCACGGTGGACATATTTCAAAACGAAATTCGGATTCTTTGGCTATTCATGAGATGAGATTTAGTCATAAGAAGAGCTCTAATGTTTACTGAATGAGATTCAAATTGGTCTTGTATTGTTCACATTTTTAAGACTTATTTGAAATATTCTAATATTTGTATCTGTTTATTCTCCTAATAACAAACTGTTACATTTCTCTGCCTCACCTATACTGTATCCTGATTTTAATTCGCACAAAAAGAATTCCTCTTCAGACAGCACATTTTAAGAATGAAAGAAAAAACGGAATCTTAAATTAAACGACAATTCTAAAGTGTTAGACAATAGAAGAATAGCGAGATTTACAATAGCTAATACAAATATATATAATCAATTTACATGGCGCCAAATCATGTATTGGTAGTCTGACATTTCATGTCGTAGTAAATTTTATTCACTTATATAAAAACCAATCTAGTGCAAAGTAACAATAAACATTAACACATAGGTCGGGGTTTGCAGGAATTCAGGGAGTATCTAGCCAGAAACGGATTTATTGCCCATCGATTACAACACAATGACGCAAAACACGGCCTGAAGGAGCGTACCCTGAATAGAGGGGCTTCTTTGTAGATGCCCCACTTTGAAAAGACAGCAAGAAAGCTAAACTTGCGCATCATCAATGAGTTCGATCCTCAGCGAACATTCTAATATTTTGTGCCAGAAATTATTAACTCACACTGGGGTGTCTTACATACTTACAAGTTTACACTTCGTTCTTGATTTGAATACTGCTGCCACATCAGGTCTATACATTTAGGGGTTTTTGTCAAAATCCAAAGAATCTGAAATGTTATTGGTCCTGATCTGGTATCTATTTCAATAACCCTCTCACCGCCGTAATGTCGTTTCGCTGTGCCTTTTCTATAAATACTTTCATGGTAATTGTTATGATGAGTTTTACTGTTGGGTACTTAAAATTTATCTATCTATCTATCTATCTATCTATCTATCTATCTATCTATCTATAGTCTCCTCAAAGATGGAGAAGAGACTCGAGGCAGCAGAGGTGTGGTTCTACAAAAGGATGCTGAGGATACCATGGACCGAACATGTGAGCAACGATGGAGAGCATGCAAACACAAAGGAAACATACTTAACATCAGGGAGAGGCAGCTGAAATTTCCTGAACACGTAATGAGAAAGGAGGGGTGTGGAAAATCTGATACTCACAGGGCGGATAGAGGTTATGAAGGACAAGGGAAAGCAACGCGTGACATACTTAACGGGCTTAAGCAAGTGCATGAAAGAACAGGGTCTAGGAGAGATAACAAAAGATCAAACCTTATTGAGAGCTACAAGGAACAGGAGGAAATGGAGAGCTATGATCGTCCACGTCCTGAAGGGACACGGTACATAAAAGAAAACTAGATTGCCGGTAAGGTTTAATTATTTTAGCGGCTTTATTGCCTTGCTTAGAGGGAAATGTTTAAAAAAATAAGAAGTTAATCTTAAAGACTAATTGCCATGTGTAATGTAGTATTGGTTCCTCCGAGGGTCTGGCATTTTGTCAGATTAAACGAATCTTCCTAAATAACTGTAGACATTTGCTCACATCTTCACGTTTTGCTGAGATATGTTGAAGATAACATTATATAGTTATGTCTATTATGTTTTTAAGCAATTATCTTGTTGATAGATTAGTGTCCGTATCTTGGCATTAAAGTTGTAGTAGAACTGTCAAATATTCGGGTTTGTTTTTGTTAAGATATCAAGCTTTCTACTGGCTTCAGTCATTATCAAGAAAGAAACAAGTGAAATGAAATGCAACATTCGTTGAGTGATAGATTGCATAATCGGGGGAGTTTTAAATTTTAAATTCTTAGGTTTGTCACGTAGAGCATACTTGTAGCGTAGTGTTTATCGGTTCTAGGAACATTCACCGTAAACATTTTTGCCATAAGAAAACTCGCCACAGGAAATTTCGTCATAGAAAACTTTGCCGTATAGGATTTTTGCCGTGAGACAATTTTGCCGCATTTTTTTAATATGCGAAGTACACTTGTTATCAAGTATATTTGGCTCACACTAGTGTTACTTTGATTTAAACATTTTAATAAGCGAAGTTATAGGATCAAAATCCTACATTATTCATCCTCGTCAGTGAGGAACGCAAAAATTTCAACTTGACACCAGAACCTGCGACACGCAATATCTTATTTTAGACTTAACGTTACATTTTCTGTTAACATAATATCAGACTGCCAATAATTCCCACTCAAGCAATATATATTATCTCAAACTGACAACTTGAATACGCAACCAACTTCAATAGAAAAAATCTGATCAAAGAAAGATAAACCTTTCAAACTCTCAGTAAGTCTTTTGAAATTTACACAAATTATTTACAAACATAAACCGTTTTAAATTCACTATAAATACCTAAATATTGAATTAAAATTAAATTGTCTTACGGCAAAAATGTTATACGTCGAAGTTTCCTATTGCAAAAATTCTTGAGGCGAGTTTTCCTACGGCAAAAATATTTACGGCGAATTTTCCGGATGCGGTGGTTATCAGCAAAGAAAATAGGATTGAAAGCTGAGTTCAAACACCAAGCGAGTGTATTACGTTTACTTTCACACAAAATCGTTTAGGAAAGGCATGAATTCACCTCTTCACCTTCCGGTTTGGATTCAAGAGTAGAACAAACTGGTATCTCTGTCAATGATTAGAAAATAGTCTAGGAGAAGAGCAATTCATTTTGCGTTAACAACTCCACCTTGGGTAAACTTATTGAAATTACAACAGTACCAATTGGTATAGTGAGGTCATGGCCCAATATTCCAGAGGAATTCTACAGGTATAACCGACCTTATTGAAATTTGGTTGTTGTTTTTGTTTTTGTTTAGCGGCATATCAACTCCATGGGTTATTTAATGCCGAAATCTTAATATTTTGTACGTAATGTCATGGCCTTATCTACAGATATTCTGTACATAATTTTATACTTTCAGTATATTTTTATTTTACATATATAGTTTGTAGATAATAAAATGTATTGCTGGTAATTTTACTATAAACAATTTATTTTTATAGTTTAGTGCTCTATTGATTGTCATTTTCCTATAAAATGCATTACTACTGATCATTTTGCTATAAATGTATTGTTGGTATTTTTACCATAATGTAGTTTTGTACTTAGTGAACCACCAAACAAAAATCAAAACACTATATACCATAGTTGGGACCCTAACAGGTGCTACCACCTCGAGTAAGGGTGAACCTGGGAATAAGCAATTAAGAGGCGGTTCCACGCTACTCAAACATCCAATCTCTCGATCAGAAACCTTGCTGCCGGATGTAATTTATCGTCATACCCAGGATATTGAAATTTGATAAAAATGCACATTGTTTAGCAAATGCTAAACATTTCAAATACCTCGGTATATGGATCATTTCTCACAAATTTAGTAATTTCTAAAGAAATGTGTTTCTTATGTATTAATCCAAAAGATTTTATCAAGTTAAACGTTATTTTTAAAGGATACTCATATTGAGTAGACGTTCCGCTTATTTATTAAACAGTATATTTATTAATTACCGTCTGCCAGCCTGAATATTCGCGAAATCTTATTAAAGGAAAAAAATACACCTTTAATGAAAATTCGAGAATTCGGGTGCGATAAGCAGTTATGAACTTTTAAGTAACTGGGAAGGATTTGCGCACTTCGACATGATTGGCAAGGCCCATCGTAGTTTGGTTTGGTTTGGTTTATGGAATATCAACCTCAATGTGTTATTTAATGTCAACAAGATTTTTTATTGCTGGCAATATTTTTTTTCTAAAAATGTATTGCTGGTAATATTTTTCCAAAAATGTATTGCTGTTAATAATTTTGCCAACAAAATATTGCTGATATTAAAACCTATTTTTATACTTTCAAAATGTTTTGTCCCCTTTTGGGGTTTAACTATTTGCCCATTGTTGGGACACTGACAGGTGCATCCACCCCAAGTCAGAGTGGACCTGGGAACACCAGTAATTAAGAGGTGGTTCCACGCTCCTCAAAATGATCAAAAGCCTTGCTGTCGGATATAGTTTATCGTCTTACCCAGGACGCGCATGTAGTTTATCGTCATACCCAGGACGCGGATGTACTTTATCGTCATACCCAGGACGCAGATGTAGTTTATCGTCTTACCGAGGACGCGGGTGTAGTTTATAGTCATACCCAGGACGCGGATGTAGTTTATCGTCATACACAGGACGCGGATGTACTTTATCGTCATACCCAGGACGCAGATGTAGCTTATCGTCTTACCCAGGACGCGGATGTAGTTTATAGTCATACCCAGGACGTGGATGTAGTTTATCGTCATACCCAGGACGCGGATGTAGCTTATCGTCTTACCCAGGACGCGCATGTAGTTTATCGTCTTACCAAGGTCGCGGATGTAGTTTATTGTCTTATCCAGAACGTGGATGTAGTTTATCGTCATACCCAGGACGCGGATATATTTTATCGTCTTACCCAGGACGCAGATGTAGTTTATCGTCTTACCCAGGTCGTGGATGTAGTTTATTGACTTATCCACGACGTGGATGTAGTTTATCGTCATACCCAGGACGCGGATGTAGTTTGTCGTCTTATCCAGAATGGGCCCATCCCTGCGTCTAAAACACGACGGATCTAACGACGTTTTCTCATGCAAAGGCGGACGTACGTTCGAATCCAATAAAAAGTGATTAAAAAACAAATTAAGTGTAGGAGATAAGGGAATCGCCCATAGAGTAGGCTGCGTTTGGGGAAGGATTGCTCGACACTGCAAGTTACTAGACAAGCAAAACATTGACCTAAGAATGTTCGTAACCTCATCGGACAGAGGCATTCATATGGCGCCAACACCATTGAGAAATATCTAAACTGTTAGCTGTTTACAATTATTTTCTATGATCAATGGTTAAAAATAGCTTAGCAAAGACCATCCGTCTTCGAACCTTGAGGACTGGCCCTACAGAATCACAAACAAAGAACTCTATCAAACAATAGAAACCACATCTCTGGAGGAGTTTCAGCAACAATAAAAATTGGTGTTACATATAACGCGAAGAGAAAATAATGACATAATCAAAATTCCACACTACTTCGAACAAAAGATTAGCAAGGCAACCCCCATCACTATTGGAAAGAGCGATAACAGCTACTGAACTTGAGAAACCAATTTTCTTGAAAATTTTTCTTCAGAGAAAGTTTTTTATAAATTTCATCAGACAGTAGTACTGACTGCTCGATCAATGAATGCTGAAGGTTTCCTTATAAGGAAACAGCTAATATTACCATTAATATTTTTATGTATTTATGTATATATTTTTATAGCCCTTTGTTTTGTGTGCATCTGATGATATTGCAGTAAATTAATGTTGTGACTGTATTAAAAACTAATGCGAATTGGTAACAGTTGTTATCCAACTTCAACAAATTACATTTGTTTAATGTACTTTAGTTGATATTTCCAACGGAGATTAGCTAGTCACTAAAGTAGATTGGTGTACTAGGAAACAAATACATCATATATATATATATATATATATATATATATATATATATATATGAATCTATACATACACAAAATGTTATTTTGTGAATGCTTGTGTGTGAAGAGACGCCATTTTTTATAAATAGTGTAACACCAGCCTGCATATCCGAGAGACTAAATAAAGAAAAACGTGTGCTCCAGCAGGGCGCGAAACTGCGTCCTTCTCAGTTGTAGAAATCAATGGTCTAATGGGGCGTGCTTCAGGCCTGTTGGCCACAGAGAGCTTAAGATCTACAGGGAGGAAAGGTTTACTGCAGAGCAATTTGTCTTCATTAATTATCCCGAATGTTTAAGCCGGTTGAAGTAAGTTACAATTTTTAGTAAAAAGAGGGTGTCTACTCAAGCCACAAGTGTTTAGTATTTGTGGAGTAAAAGAAATTATATATAAATATATAAATATATTATATATATATATATATATATATATAT